GTTCGTTGTTTGTTCAGTGGTTAGTAACCAATCACCGTAATCCAAATTCTGCACAAGGAGTTCTTAAAAGCTACGGATCATTGCCACCTTCTCTCTACATAATTTTCCGGCATTTTTCTATTTCGTTCTTTCTTGAACGGCATCCGAAGCTCGATGATGCGAGGAGATGCGATGGATTTCCACGGGGGGTCGCTCGGTTTCTTGTAATCGAGCCTTGCGCGAATTGCCCGAGATTTGCAAAGTGTGAACGGTGCCTGAAAACTGTCAATCTTTCGCGAAGCTACTTTCTTCCATTCTTGCTTGGAACGCTCACTATATATACTTCCTCTGCACACTGTAGACCTTGGACGACCTGGCTCAGATAGCCATACCCACTGTTTGTAGCGAACATTTTGATTTACGCTTATATTAGCTTTTCAACAACCTTGTGGTCAAAGGGAGCAAGACGCTATGGCTGAGGATTGATTCCCTATCGGGGGTCCGCAGAGAGATTGTGTCATGTTGGCATGTTGAAGGGACCTGTATTAGTCCAATACTGTGTAGGATTTTCGGGATAGTGTGGGTTTTCACCGTCCACCGGACCAGCGATTTTCTTTAGCTGCTGGAAATAAATAAGGGAAAGCTGGGTCATACTTAAAAAATAATGAATGGAAGGCTGTGCGGAACATCCAGTGTGCTCATTGGTCTTGGCCGAGGTCCGATTGCGAAACCTAGCTTATTGAGCGGGTGCGCCCGTCTGTCGGACGCCACGCTTACTCGTGCCATTTCACTGGGGGCAATTGTTCTACTTCCGTCCTAATAGACCTGAAAACAGCATCTTTTTTCACTCTGCTTAATGATTCTCATTAATCTGATGGAGTTAACCAACATGACGACCGACGGCATTTTCGCTCGTGAATCCGATACTCATATTAAAAAACTGGGTGATTTCGCAATGCTATCCATGCGGCGCTGGATGTGGCTTCCAAAATTGGATTATAATGAATGAGTTACGGAAGAGTTCACTCGGCCGCTTGGTATAGATGCTGGAGGAATGTGGGCCAAAACGACCACATCCCTCCAGCGGATGGGTTTCATATTTGGGTTGGTGTGGGTTTAGGTTTGTTGATGAGTTTTGATGAGTTTTCTGTGGTGCCTGTTTGTAGAGCAAGGTAAAGAAATAGGCTTCGGCTTCCAGACGGAAGACAACCTGGCCAGAGGCAGCGGTGGAGAATGGGGTTTATTAAAGAACGTGGTAGTGCCTCCAATGGAACGCTCCCATCAGGGCACGTTGGGGATCCTCAGCAAGGTCTCGTATTTGTCGTATTTGGTCGTGCTGCCTGGGAGTATACGTATCTGCCGCTGAGAAAAATGTTTCCGGTTTCGACGTTCTTTGTTTTTTCTCGTTTTCAAAAATGGCTATGACACCTTCCACCCCACCCCATATCACAGCAGTTTTTTTGGAATCAGGGCGGGAGTGGAGGTTCTTTGAAAAAAAAACTCCCAGAAACAGTGCGTGCGGAAAATGGGAGATTGCAATGTAGATGGCGCTATAAGAAGCCACATAACCGTGAACTTATTTTGCAGAATTTTTCCTCAACAGCAGGGTGAATTGCCTTAAGCTCCTGCATAGATTCCATTAACACATTTGCTCCAAATCCAAAAGCTTATTGATCAATCGTAGCCAACTCACTCGGTGTACAGAAGAAGTTCTTTCAGCTCGCAAACTAAAATTTAATAGGTGTGAAGCGACAGGGAAGAGTTTATGAGTTTCGAACGCTTGCTTTTTCTTTGCAGGCGTCGACATTACAACGTTAGCGCAGCAGTAAAACTGAGAAAGGCGCTAGTTCGAGATGCCGGCCCATTTTGTGACACCCCGTCGCTTCACCCACCTTGCATTGCGCCACGCCCTCAAAGGCAACTTTCAAGCCTCGGAATGTAACAAGTTCCACATTCTCGCCTTATTTTTTCAAATTTTGAACGATTTTAACGAAGTGCAAAAAACGAGCTGCAAAAGTGGTCCTCGCATTTTGTGAGAAGAGGTTCACCTCTTGCAATACTGGCAAGAAGTGAATCACTGCCTGGTATACTGATATGATGCCGTGAGGGATTCAGTTTGAACAAAATGGTCAGAAAAAATTTAAAAATATACCAAAAAAAGGAACAATACAGGGCCTCACCCATGTACTGGGTAGATCGACTTCCTAGGCAATATCTCGATTTTTCAAGGGAGTTTTGAGAACCAGGAATTGTTTGCCTGTCCCCCCTGCTTTCCAATTTGCCTCTGTTTCTTGCTTATAAATGTTGCAACCCTGGGAACTCTTTCTGATTTCTGGGCTTCTGAGCCTAATAATCTTTTTGCGTCATCGTGTTCAAATTTCAAGCGCATTTACAGTCGCATTTGCTGCGGATACTAGGGCTTGTCAGGGGGCTAGGTTGGCGAAAGGGAGGGGGGAAGGAAGTCGTATTTGTCGTTTGCTTAGTAAAAATGTAAACTCTGATCTTTTACCCATTTCACATGTACTGTACCACCTATCCCCCTCTCGCGACGGCAGTTTTTTGAGGAAAAAGTAATAGGAAGTGGGGGGGGGGGTGGGATTCCAGAAATGGTATACAGGATGCCGGCGGTCTGGGAGGAAGGGTCGTACGTCTCACCGCAGGAGTTTTGCAGGAGGTCTAACCTTTATTTGGGGAAGAGATACGGAGGCGTCGCAGGTGGGACTCCTGGTCCCAACACGCTGGCCCTGTAATACTAGTTTTGCATAGGAAATCCTAAATGCTCACCACTTAATGTGATTACCACCAAAATTTCTACAGCGCCCCTTTATACCTGCACCATACCGCCACAGTGTACCCCAATAGCGCCCTAGTAGCGAGCAAATCCTTCACTCTGCCAGGCCCCGAAACAAGGACCCTCTTTGAATCGCCCATATCGAAACGTGCCCAGTTGAGCGCCGCCCCCAAGATGAGTCACCGACCGCCTTTCTCTCTGCAATTATTTGAATTGGATATTCGCGCCACAACGTACGGCTGCGTAGCTGCCCCTCCGACTCGTCTCCTCAACGCATTGCGGGTGTGTCGCAGTACGGCACGGACTGGCGCGAAAACTGGCCGTCGACGCGGTTGCAAACGCTTCGGTCGTTCATACGCGGTGGTCGGTGGTCTTCTTTAAGTCCTTTTCCTCTTATTTTAGCATTCCTTGCATACTCTCAATGATTTCATTCAGAAACTACTCCTTTGCTTGGGTTTGTTGGTTCTTTGGCATCTTTCGAGTATTACGCAATTCTCAGTGACTCACCGCGTGTCCAATGCTGCTTCTCGCGAGAATCCTTATCAGACTCATATCCTCATTTTCAGGTCTCATTCTCTAAACTTTACCAGTCGAGAATGGTGAGTGGTTGACGACGTTTGCTCCGTACTGTGTTCGTAGTGGTAACTAGTTTCTCTAAATTGTTAGTAAAACTGGTTTTAGCGTGAAGTGATCTCCATCCACGTTGGACAAGCCGGTGTACAGATCGGTAACGCATGTTGGGAACTGTATTGCCTGGAACATGGAATACAGCCCGATGGCATTATGCCTTCAAAGAACGAGAACGAATCGTTTACCACATTCTTCTCTGAAACAGGAAACAGTCGATTCGTACCACGAGCAATTATGGTTGATTTGGAGCCCACAGTTGTTGGTGAGTCGAACTGTTTAGTAGTAATGTTTTGTCCATCTATCTGCGAAGTGCTGCGAGCTTTGCATGACATTAGCGGAGAAAACAAAGCGACCCATTTTTAACTGGCCTCTCCGGAGTTTCGGGACGGGTAGGACGTTTGGGAGTAGTCTGTGCTGTCGTCAGAGTAGAGTGGGAATGGCGGTTTTTGATAGAGAATCTGTTGATCGTTATCACCAGAGCATTACAGAAAACTGCGGTTGTGGGAGCGTTTAGTACCGTTCTTTGATTACTGGATCAATACTATACCATTCTCTCAGCGACGCCGTCGAATCCAACTTTACGAATTACTGATTGTATGAATGAACTGGTTGTACGAAGACAATCTGGCTTTTCCTCCTTTTGAGCATCTGTTAGATTGTCGTGTTTTGCCAATAAAGCTTTTGTCGGAGCCTCTTCAGTTAGATGGGACATTTAGAGAAACCCACTAGCGCGAAGGGCTTGGTCCCAGTGAGCTTCCTTCAGACTAAAAAAAATTTTCGCTGTC